TGTTTTCGTTGGGGAACAGTTTGCGAACCGTTTCTCTCTCTCTAGTGCATAAATGCCGACAAAATTTAATAATGAAATAAAGACAGGAGATAATAACCATTTGAAATATAATTCATTTCGATGCGTTGTTTTCGATGCTGTTATATTTGATATATACTATTTCATTAGAAATACTTTACTATTACGTTATTTATAATACCAATTATATTAATATAATTAGTATATAATATTACTATATAATATTTTACTATTACTTATTTATAATAATATAGTATATTATTTATATACTACTATTTCATCAGAAATATGGAAAAAGTGGAAATAAATCACAAAATAGTATGCAACAAAAAGATTTGATTTTAAGAAACCTCTGCATGTATTTTGCTTTGTACAAAGCTATCTCTTGATAATAAAAATATACATAAATATAATATTAATTATATAATAATAATATTTTATTATATTTATTATATATATATATAATTGGGAGAAGCGTCATCCTTTTGAAAAACGTATGTTCTCCTTTCTTTAATTAGGTTTATTTTCTGTCTTTGTCCACAGAAATACGGTTAACCGTAAAAAAATGGTAAAAATGAATAATAGTTTCATTCAATTTCTGCCGCAAGAAATTTCCGTGCGATTAAAAATAAATTTTTCTCTTATTCGAATATTTATAAAACAATTTACTACTCCTTCCTGCGACGCCTCAAGTTCCGAACTGCCCGTTTCGTCGCATCAGTGTTTTGACGGTTCGTTTCACTTATGACGCACGTAGTGGAATATCTTATCTAATAAATAATCAATGAAATTCAACACGGGACAAATTGGTTACGGCAGAGATACCGTAATATTGTACGCGTTCAACATTTATCAACACACTCGCATGTTTACACGTGCATCATAGTTCCTTGTTTGGTGGTGTAAACACTTTTTATTATAACTATCTCGGATACGATTGTCAACGGACAAGCAACCTGAAGCACAATATTTGTGGTCGCGTGATAAAACGTTTATCGTAAGAGTATGTGGTCACTATACTCTAATAGTTAGATAACAGTGACGATGATAACGCATACAAGAAATATTGTTTTACACTTTACAAATCATGCTATATACTGTAAAGAGGGTAATAACTTTTCACAGCCGGAAGCTGAATAAAAATACGTCTGCGTAATAAGTAAAAATCAATTTCCGTTGCAGTTTGAAACTACGGGCATGTTTTTCTCTAAAAACGCGTAACAAGACTGCCGGTAATTGCTGCTAATTTCAAGATCAACAATTCTATTTTTACAAATTCTAATTTAACCTGTACGAATACGATTTTATGCGAAATCCTATTTAAGTCCGGAATTTGAATACCGGTATATACCTATATATATCTGCACCTATATATATTATATTAATTATATATCTATATAATTACTATATTAATATACATATTAATATTAATTACTATATTAATAGGTTCGGAATTTGAATACCGGTATATACCTATATCTGCACCTATATATATTATATTAATTATATATCTATATAATTACTATATTAATATACATATTAATATTAATTACTATATTAATAGGTTCGGAATTTGAATACCGGTATATACCTATATCTGCACCTATATATATTATATTAATTATATATCTATATAATTACTATATTAATATACATATTAATATTAATTACTATATTAATAGGTTCGGAATTTGAATACCGGTATATACCTATATCTGCACCTATATATATTATATTAATTATATATCTATATAATTACTATATTAATATACATATTAATATTAATTACTATATTAATAGGTTCGGAATTTGAATACCGGTATATACCTATATCTGCACCTATATATATTATATTAATTATATATCTATATAATTACTATATTAATATACATATTAATATTAATTACTATATTAATAGGTTCGGAATTTGAATACCGGTATATACCTATATCTGCACCTATATATATTATATTAATTATATATCTATATAATTACTATATTAATATACATATTAATATTAATTACCATATTAATAGGTTCGGAGATACTTTGTCAGACTTTGATTGGGACAAATACAGTTTCAAATTCTTGTTATATATTTAGAAACCGTTTAAAAATGTTTTTGAAACTGTGCTGTTCAAAGGATTCTTAGAAATATTCTAATATAATGCATACCATATCAGGTTTCATTTATTATATGAATATAATTTCTAAAATCAGCACTATTTTCTCAACAGAGCTTCTCATGCTCGGCCGAGGCCTTGCCCTTACCTCCGCAGAGACAAGGATAGAGAACTGAGCTGCGGTGAAAGGAAATAACGCAGACGCAAGTACATCAACGGCGTGCCGCGACTAGACAATGTATACACGCATGAAAGAAAATGTTATTTTTAGTAAGTCTCGGTTTACATTCATAATTGCAGCACCAATGGATAGCTGAAGTTCTTTTGATTAATGCAAGTCCAAACATGACGTAAATCGGACTATGTTTATTGAACGGTGACTTATTGAAAATGTAAGTAAAATATTACAGAATTACAATCTGAGCCAGTAGTAAAACGATATTATTTATTTATGAATAAGAAAATTCGACTATTTCACAATTTCGGATTAACTCCCAATTTCCTCTATATATAATTCCATAATTAAATGATAATTGGTATTTTACAAGATCTTTTGGCAATTAAAATTATTAAAATATATAAATATATGTATTAAATATAAAATTAAATTGTATATTGTTTGAAGTTAAAATTTTGTAAAGTAACAAGTGATATGTACGTATAACTTGCAATTAAGGTTTCCATATTTACAAAATAATATTTTGATGAAAATAAATATAGATACAATATAGAAAAATGTTATCAAATGGAAAAATGAAATTTGAATTTTAAACTGAATTATCAACTGCAAACTTGGCCTCGTGGAGTTGAAAAGTCCCGAACAGGATGGCCACTAAAAAGCGAGGTTTCTACTACCGGATCAATAGCATTACTGCATTATTATGTTCACTTGCAAACGCATGCATATTATCTTAGTTTCGCTAAATATAGCAAATATATCGATAATTCTAATACGACATATATTTGGATATTTCAGTATAATTCTGGCCCTTGATACGATTATCGGTTAGATATACGATATTACAGGTATTTTGGTATTCCTGGTACGAATCTCTGAATTTTAAGTACAATAATTGTTTCCAACGTAATGTTATTTCATATTTTAATGCTACTTCATGAATAACTATATATTCTATAGTTGTTGGCGGGTGATTCAAGATTGTCCAAGTGCTGCAAAGAGTTAATATCTAAAATTAAACGAATACACCCAACCTTCTTCTATTTCCCATCGAATCCATTACATTCTAGAATCTTCCGAAAAGCAATAATTTCATTTTTAGACCTGGCTTAATCATCCAGAAACTCTGTCTCATCCTCGGCCTCTGAACCGGTCTCATCATATAACTATAACTTAATCCTTGCTACGGCGTCCTTAAGACCCTGACATCATTAAACCAGCCCTTAGGAATCCTAAATCCCCTCGCTCATATTTAGAACTCAACATATGTATACATGCATACGTTATGTATATGTCAACCGATCTCGCGCTCCAGAGAATTTCCTCGAATGCGCATTCTCGTTTAAATTTGTCAAATATGAAACGCGTTTTCGAATAAATAACGTTGTACTTTAATAATAAATATCTGCTAACGGAATACAACTATATTGAATGGCAAAAATTAAGGTTAATTGTTGGGAATACATCTGTTAAGTGGTTTTAGTTTATTCATGCTTTTGCAGCTTTATCCGTGAATCTATATAATATAAATAAATATATAATAAATAATATAATATAATATAATAAATATAATATAGATTATATAATATAGATAATATAGATTATATAATATAAATAAAATAAGTATTCGTGAATTTTTCAAAATATATTTTTGAACTTGTTCTTTGCAAGGCTGTTAATTTCTGTTGTTCCCGGTGTAACAAAGCAATTTATTTCATTTCACTTCGAAAAATTGAACAATTCGGTGACGAGTGAATTAAATACATTTTGTCAGAACGAACCGAGTACATAAACTTTCCTTCGCATCTTTTGTTATTAGTATACACGGCGACACGTCTCGCAAAACTGCTTCGTTTGCATTAAAAAAAAAACAGAAGATAATTTCTGATACGTGACAACGCTATCCGTACGTGGAAGCATCGCTGAATCGCGTAGAGTAATTAGATTTTCCCCCAAAATATTTAGCGTTTTCAATAAGGCGCACAAATATCCGGCAAGAAGAATGTGCGAATTTAGCCGTCGTCCGCAGAATTATGCGAGTTAGAATCGTGTTGCTATCGCCGTTAAAGTCGCGACACGTTCTTAAAGTTGAAAATTTGATCTATCTATTATATCTATTATTATTATATATTTTATTATATTATATTACATTATATTACATTATATTATATTATACTATATTATATTACATTATATTATATTATATATCTATTTGATCTGGTTTATTTATAGCTATAAATAAAACAGTGTACGTCAGAGCATTAAACTGGGGAGATATTTTAATAACCGCGAATCTAAATGTAGTTTAATCATTTTCTTTAAAATAATAGTCGAGTCGGAAGGTCTTAGATGGCGTTACCCGAGGCAATATATTGGTTAAGGAAAAACTTATTTCCCTTAAATCTCGAAAAAAAACTATAGGTAACGGCTAATATATTCGAAACGTTCGATTCCGATTCCGTCGTCCGAACAAATTCCGTTTTGTGCGACACACAGAACACGCCTGGTGATTCCGTAATCAACGTGTTAAAAGCTTCAGAAGCTTTTCTAGTTTATCAAGAGATAACTAGAGAAACATTGATGTTCCAAACAGACGGCGACCAACAATACCGTCGTAACATATATACGCGGACTAAAAATACTTAAAAAAAGAAAAAAAAGAAAAAGAAAGAAAAACATACCATGACGCACTGATGACACCTGTCTGTCTCTCTCTAATTGCAGAATCGGCAGCCAGAGAAAGATCTGCGAAAACGTGCACTGCTCACCACGTGTCGCTTCCCTCTTCACGCGCGTTACGGTCGATTAAATCGAAAAACGATTCCTCCGCGATAATTTCCACCGTATCGAGAGAACACTCAAGATTATAAATACAGTCCTCCTCCCCGAACAATCGGTTTTACACAACGGACATAACCAACGGGGGATATCCAAATGTTCGATGGTGTTGGTCGCGACTGAATTGACAACGGGTCCGTAAATACCGACAGTCGATAGTTTCGTTTCGGTTTGATAAATTTCTATTGGTCGGTGTACGGCGGCCAATGAAACTCTCTAATTCGATTTCCGTCTCCAATGACGATCCTCCCTCTCTCTCTCACTCGTTGTTATTTAAGATCGAGTCCTGTGGAGCGACTTTTCGACGTCCTGCGAAATCTCGTCGCCAACATGGACGCAACGATGCGACACATCTCGCGGAACTTCCGACACCACTGATTTTACGACGCACAATTACTTTCTATCCAGGATAAATATCGCCGATCTTCTCCGGCTATTCCCCTCGCGGTCGCGGCTCGCACTGTACCGAAGAGAGGAGACCCGTTTCCACCGTTTCACCGTTCCGCTGGCGACGTCCGAACGAGCCGCGGTTTGTTTACGTTCCGAGTCCCGACACGGCTACAACGGAGGGGGAAAAGGGACAAACAAACGAACGTGTCCGAGAGGCCCTACGGCGAATACGGCTTCACGGATATGTGACTCTTACGTCGAATAGATTACGACAGGCTGCGTCCGGAAGAGTTTTTACGGCCGACTAATTTAATTCGGTTATTTATCTTTAGGTAGCGCCACGGCACTCCGCATATTGTCGTTCCCTTTATGTAATATACTGACGATTACCGGACGATGAGAGATCTCATGGAAGATCGATACGTTCCACGCGGCTCGAACATCGGAAGAAATCGCTGCGCTATGGGAAGCGGGGTTATCGGTGGATCGTCGTCGAAACGTCACTGAATTTATCGAACGTGATTACGAATTATTTTTTGGATAATTTCGAACGGAATTCGTTGTTGCAGCTGATCGTTATCGCGATCCGTTTCAGATTCGCTGGACCGCTTTGTTATCTCGCTTCGACGCGACGGGAACGAACGAGGAGACACGCGGCACGCGGAAGTTTCTGCGCGAACGGGAAAGATATCGTCGGGTTTCGTTTGCGACGCGTCGGCGGCCGGTTAGGCGCTGTCGCGCGCCGAACCGAACAGAGTTCACGAGAACGGTTGACAGAGAGAACAGAGTTCGGATGCTCGCGCGAGGACAGCCGAAGTAACACTGATAGCGGCAATGCTCTCTCTCGCCGATGCACGCGGACACTGTTGTCACGGAGATACACGGAGTTCTTCAGCTCTCTGCCGTTAACTGCGTGTCCCCTTTATACACAATCTTGCTTTCTGCGCACCAGTTGAGGGGGATAGTCGGTCGCGTTGGAGGTGCGATCGCCGCGATGTTTACAAATCGAGGGTCGAACACGAGATATACATCCGGACCGAAAGACCGCGCTTCCTAATATGAGCCGTTTACTGTGAAAGTGGCGTAAGTCACTTTGTTCGTTAAGTCGATATATTTAAGGGTTCGCGTGTGAACACGTTTAAAAATATGGATGCTAACTTTCGTGAGGCGTGCGAATACATACGTTTACGTGATTGCGAACATCTTCATTATGCAAAGATAAAACCGTAATTATTGAAAGATACGTATGCGCAATTATAATCGACGTAGGCCACAAGATGCGGCGTAATTGCTGCGCTTATTAAAACCTAGATTTATTGTACCATGATCGTTCCATTGAATGCGCGTACTTCACATACGTAAATTAACAGTATCTTGCAGTTAAATATGTTGATATTTTCGTAGATCAATAGAAGAAAAACTTTACGGTTATGTAAAAATATTTAGACAAATTTTGGCGGTACACCACTTTCCTTGCGGCGAGTATAAATCAAAGAAAACTAGCGAGAAATCCAGGTGTACATAATAAATTAATTTCAAAATTAATTTAATAAATTAATATCATATATATTTCATAAATTAATATCAATGTACGGATGAAATAACACAATAACTTAAATCGTAGAGAAAGGAGTTAATGATTATTGTTTCTTTGCGATTGTCCACGCATTAATTAACCACTATTAACTGAAATAGTTGAAGCGGTTATCATAGGGACAGTGACAGTAATTGGGTCATCTAGCCTAGTCAGAACGATTCAAAAACGTAGTATGTACATAGTTGTCTAGGGAGCAATCAAGATATTCTGAAATTGTCTCGTGAACATAACACCAGGTTACGGCCAACCGAGTTTTACGGGCAAACAGGTCATTTGTCTCGGGTTATGTGTAATATGTGTTTACGATATGTTGACACTCCGTATGCGGATCACCAGGCACGACGAAGCGAATTCATTTGGAACCCCGAGTCAAAACCGGTGACTCTTTATTCCACGAGAAGCGACTCAACACTCGTGCATGCATTTTTACGTGACTCATTTTGGAACACTATTTTCCAATATATTTTCAATATATTCAATATGTCCGATATGTACATATTTATATAAAAAAAAATATATATATATATTGAATTGTGTTCGAACACGGAATTATTTAAAGTAAAATATTATTTACGTACTTTGTTAATCTTCATTGTACACCTTGCTTAAAAATTTCATATGGTGTCAAACACATCAGAAAATTAAACCGGCTGTTACGCTTGAATTACTTATTATTTCGGGCTCGAAAAATTAGTAAATATTCTTCAGACATTCTGAAATAAGGATGAATAGCGATTTTCTTAAAATGGTCACTGTCACGTGGTAAAATAAAATTCGGAAATTCACGCTCCGTGACTTGTTCATTGATTCGAGCGCAGCACGGAGCCCCACTTCATCTGTCGCGCTCCACGGTCGAAGCACGTTGCACTCGACCACGCGTTGTAATTCGCGCCCTTGCCTCGCATTGGTCAGCGTTTTTCGTTAATAACTCGTAAACAAAGCCGCGGATTGCATTTTCGCTAAGGAAAAAGTTGCTTAGAATGACCTCAGCTAACGAATTGTTACTAAATTGTTACTAAGAAATAAATAGTACTTTCTAATGAGATATTTCATTCACTGATGAAATAAAACACAATTTTATCGATAAAGTTCGTTTATTAACTTCGGAATAACAGAAATACATATATGTATAATACCTATACTAAAAACTTAAAATTGAAATATATACAATATATATATATATATAAAATATACAATTGTATACGAAATATATACAATATATTAAATATATACAAATATACATAATAAATTTCTTCTACGTGTGATTCTACGTGGTGTTCGTGCGATATGTAAAAGGTGAATGTGAATGTGACGCGATAATATAATTTATCATAAGCGTAGCATGTTAATTTAATCGCGTCGTTAACAAATCAAATCGCGTTTATATAAAGTGTTTCACGCAACTTCCGCATCACTACGTATAAACTCCCAAAGTATGCACCGCAGGAAAAAGTTTCCTATACAAAAGTTGCATGGTTCGCGCAGGAATACATTATATACAAAGCGACATTGCTCGTTTAGCTATTTGATTTAGATACTTTTTTTACTCAGAATTCGACATTCGTCCATATTTTCGGATAAAAACTATAGTATTCCATTTAAAGAAACAAAGTTGACCTTCAAATCTCCGAAACGCCTCCACCTAGAAAAAAAAATAAATACACTACATAACGTGCCCCTATAAACCATGCAACTTTTGTGTACAACATTTTTTCGTGCAACGCATACTTTGGAAGTTACAGAAATAAAGCATGTTGCGTGAAACAGGGTGTCCCAGATTTTAATGTTCGAACTTCCTCGGTATATTCGGTGACACTAAGTAAGAAAAAAAGAAAAATTTACGACACCGGAAAAAAAAGAATACGGCACCGGATCGAGATCGATAGGGTCTAGGGGGCCCACGTCGTAGCGTACGGCCCTGTTCGAAGCAGGGGTGCGCGCGGAGTTGTGGCGTCGTGCCGAGCCGAGGTTACCGGGAGTGGGGGACGTGTCTCGCTTCCAGGTGAACGAGCCGGCAAAAATCGAAGTCACTGTTGCGTAAGCTGCGGAGGCGAGCAGTTTGTGGCATCGTGATCGAGAAGTTCGCCGAGACGGATTAATTAGCCAGTTGGCTGTGTTCGACAAGTATACTCGTCGTGGAGAGGTGATACACATTTTGTATCATAACGAGTACACTCGTCGCGCGTAATTAGGCAGTGACCACTGACTGATTTAAATTGTAATTTTAGTGAAAGCAAAAACATATTCTCAAATTTCAAGATGTTCAGAATATTTCGAGGCCGATCCAATACGAAGGTGTTTATATTGGGGACTGAAATATCGTACACAAGAACCTTCCCCCCTCCCCCCCAAAAAATATGTATATAAGAGGACTTCGTCAACCCATCGTAGCGTGTAGCGACGCTGTCACACTTGTTACACCTCGGTTGTCCTTTTATTTGATTAAAGTTATTTTCACCGGCACAAACTCGATCGATTCGATTATATCAATTCGTTCGAGATTAATCTCTCGTCACGAAGCGAGCGAGTACAGAAATGGATTATAATTTTTGAAAAAATCTTTACCGTCGAAAGAACGTTCAGCATATTAAAAAGTAAATTTAATTAAAATAAAAAGTAAATATAAATTAAAAAGTATCAAGTAGTAAAATAATTAAATTAAGAAGTAAATATAATTTCCAGGCAAATATCTTTCCCACCGCGGCAAATCTCGTGTTCGGCAAGGCCTCCTCACCCTTGCCTTAACAAGAAGCCGCTAAATGTCACGGAGTAACGGCGACAGTTTATTTCGAGCGCCGCCGAGCCGAAACCACGCCGGCTGTAGCTTTCCGTTCGAACGGTGGCGACACCCGGTAAAAAAGTAAACAAACACCGCGCACCGAAGCGTACGAAAAACCGAGTAGCGAGAACTTTCATGTGCATCGGCGACTTTTGATCAAAAGTTGGTCAAGGTATATGTATAAGATACGGGTGAAGTTGTCCGAAAACATGTATGTATGTATGTACCAACATCGATTTCAACAGCCTTGAAATATGTTATAAAGGTTTTTCGATATTCTGAACGATTTTTTTCCTTTTCCGTACAGAACCGCTGGGGCTCGATTCTCGAGGTTAAGTTACAGAATTAAAATAAATAAATAGACAGAAATAAATAGACAGAATTGTTCCTTAACCCTTTTAGTGCCATTAGAACGGTCTAGGATTCTGCTTGCCTCCGTTTATATATATATATTATATTATTATTATAATATTATTATTATATATATTATATTATATGACATATTTTACCGATATCGAATAGAAAACGAATTGGCATAGCGTTTGGCATATCGAGTGGAACTGTACCCTTCTCAAATGACACTGAAGAGATACGAAACGCTTCGAACTTGTTTGTGTTTGCCTACTCCCCTTCCCGATTGACCTGTGCTGACGCAGTGGGGACGCGGATTTAACCAGGATCGACTCATTCAGTAGGCAGCGCGGTTAGGGTAAAACCAACCCAATGGAAATTAACCTTAACAACCTCCTCGTTGTGCACATTGATTAATACTAATGTTGACGGTATTTTATTATAAATTCTGAAGGCATGTTTTTTGCAAGCTTACCTGTCTTCTGATTACGTTCTACATTTGATCAGAACTAAAAAGTTCACCCGTTATACAGGGTAGGGTGTCCCAAAAATGTCTCGCAATCCGAAAGTGGCACAAATAGCATAGGCGCAATCCTCGGGTCATTTGAAGCAACTTTTTCCTTTACAAAAATTTTCTCCGAGGCACCATTAGCGAGTTATAAACGAAAAACAGTGACCAATGAGAGATGAGCTCGGCTGGCGCGAGGCGACCGAGCCAATGAGCGGAACTAGGCTTCGTGCGCTGGTTGGCTGGGCCGCCTCGCGTCAGCCGTACTCGATTCTTATTGGTCACTGTTTTTTCGTTAATAACTCGTTAATGGTGCCTCGGAGAACATTTTTGTACAGGAAGAAATTGCTTCAAATGATCCGAGGAACCCGCCATTTCCGGATTGCGAGACATTTTTGGGACATTCTGTAGTAGTAGCAACAGTATTTTCTTGATACGTATCTCGAAAACTGAAGCCGAAAGGAAAAAGTTGTTCAGAATATTAGATATAGAATATAATATTTCACCCTTTGTAACATATTTCAAGACCATTGACAACTTGACCAAATTTAGTAGCGCCGTTCGCGGGCGACAAACGCGATAGTCAGCGTGTTATCAGCGTTTTCACGCTGTCCGATTAATAAGTGAATATCGATCGATTACCGTTCGACGTTTCTATTTTAGTATTTTAATATTTACTAATAATAATATTAACTATTA